CAGTCCTTTAGTAACGCACCGGTTCAACCGGTGCTTTAGCAAAACGGGAGCTGGAAGCTTGAAAAGGCCATGAAAAACCCGTGAAAAGGACGTCTGAAAAACCAGCGAAAAGCACGTTAAAACAGGGTGAAAGGCCGTGACAAACCTGTGAAAATTTGGTCTTGGAAGTTGGGAGGTGAAATGCGTCCTTTACGCTAACGCACCAGTTTAACCCGTCCTTTGGACTTGCTGGGTATTGTATAACTACGACTTGGATCTCTCTAGCTCAAGAACAGGTTCAACACTCACAACCTCATCACCTTGTCCTGTCTGTAATACCCTTCCAGCATGTTTGTCCACCTCCATTCATGGACCAATATGGACCAAAACCAAGGCACCTTCAAGGGTTCTCAGGGTCAGGCTAGAACTTCAGAACGCACGTTACTCGTTCATAATACACCTTTCCCAATGCCTACTTAAGCAGTGCCACCCACACGCCCACGCGCCTCTTTCGTGCGTGGAGACAGCTCGGATGTACCATCTGCCTGAACATCCGCTCTCCTGGAGAGATGCAGTTGGCCATGCTATTCACAAGATTGAGGAGTCTCTGACATGTATCTCTATATAATATATATATATATATGTGGGACAGTCTTGAATAGCACCAGGGAATCCAACACCCATGTATGTAGAACAAGGTATTTATTATTGTTCGATTTTCTCTGTCGTGTGTCAAGGGGCGAATGCACAAGAAGGCGTGCAAAGGCTCGCGGGTGTTCAATTGCAGGATTCACCAGTCTTTCTACTATCATCTGTTGCAGAACCAGCCCATTAGACTGCCAGCTCAGTAGACTGCAGTGGGAACTGTCTGCAAGAGTGCTTTCGCACCTTCGACTCATCAACTTATTTGAGCAAGTTGGACTTTCAGGGCAGTCCTGCTAACTTGGGATCAACCAGCCAGCCCAATAATCAAGATTGCCTACGCCCTGGAAAAGACCTGCATGGAACCCTCAAACCACTGGGTTGTAGAGGAAACAATCTTCCAAAGGTTCATGCCATCAGGTTCCATGAGGGTCTTTTCCCGGGTGTAACGAAAACAAGAGAAGCAATGCCCTGTGATGTCAGATGGTTCACCCGTCTTCGATACCCATGGAAGAAGGAACCGCCGAACAACCGAACACCTTCTGCAGGCTGTAGAGACCAACCCACGCGCTGTGACCAAGGGGTGCTTATGTATTTGGACATGCTGGGCAAACCGTCCAACATCCCACAGCTGGATTGGAACCGGACCGGCCAAGATGGCCGATCCGACGTGATCCGCGGCCGGGCCATGTTCCGCACACCCCGTCTCACCCTCGTTTTCTGCCTCATAGAGCGGCGTAGCGGCAAACGATGCGATTCTTCGAGGCAAACCCCGAAGACCGTGTCGATGTGAAGCATTGACAGAAAAAACCATCCGGGCCAATGCTGGGTTTGAACATGTCTGAAGTGACCCTGAATCCCTACATCCTCAATACAAATCATTTAAAAACAGAAGCATTGACCTTCCAGGCATTCTTTCCTGAGCTGATCACGATTTTGTGTCCGGCCCAGGGCTGATGCCACGGTGCAGCATAAAAAGATTCTGCCGGCAGCGTCAGGCTAACCTCTGGCAGCCTCCCACTCTTCCCTGGTGATGACGCCGTCGCCGTTCCGGTCCAGGGCGCTAAAGGCGTCCATTGCCGAGCCAGGAGGACGCGCCACCCGAAAGGAGGACGCACTGATGGCCTGAGAGGGTTTTTTGTTGGGTCTTGACGTTGAAGAAGAACAGCATCTGTGCATCGATTAGATAGCCAAAAGCAAAAACCGATACATCTTGTTACAATGATCTTCCTTGTAGCATCTGTCTCCTTCACCCTTCAAACTGGATTGAACACTCCTTGAACCCCCTAAAAGTCGACCACAGAAAGCGCCCAGCCACAGAGGAGGCGCTTTGCATGCCATAGCTCACTGCCCGCCCAGCCGTGCCCACGCCCATGCTAGGCTCAGTGGCCACTGGCACCGTCCGGCCGCTGCCCAGCAAGGGCCCATAGCCGCTGGCGCCCGCCACGGTGCGGGCACTGCGCATGGGAGAGCCAGACTCATAGCGTTGCGGCTTCACTTCCTGGGATAGTTTGCTTTTTAATGGAATAAGAAGTAAGTGGCTGATTTCAAAAGCAAATTCAAAAAAACCTCTGGAGACCAACAAACCAACCACTTCCAATCAGTCACAAGCTTCCAACACTTTGTTGACCTTGGCGGAGTCCACGCGGCAAACCACGCGGAGTCCACGCGGCGTGGCAAAACATCGGTATACACGTCCGACGTGTCTGGAGAACGATCCGCAGTATCTTTAGACACGACTGACACGACCCATGGGACTGCCATAGATGCCGATCAGTTGGGGTGATGTTTTTTGGGGAACCAAACATGGAGTGTCTGGGAGTGTTTGGGGCCCCAGAGTCGGTCAATGACCTGACTTTACTGGACGTGGTCATACCAAAAACAGGACTTAAAGGATGTAAAAGACTAGAATTTACTGGGTCTTCGGACTTGTAGGGATACCTATCAAAAAAATCATCCAAATGGTCTGGTTCCTACCATCTCCTGCATTCCATTGCATTCTTATTTCCAAGCCCTAGCATCTGTCTGAGACTGGCTGACAAAGACTGCCTGTGGAATCACAGTGGAAGGTCAATAATTGTAATTTGAACTATATATATATATACAGCAATTTTAACATGTTGGGTTCAGCATGTCCCTGTATCCTTTTCACGGACATAACTAACTCTGCTTCAATTACAGTGATTCAAGAGTGGATTGCACACACTCATAACATGCAATAAATCAACTCTCCGGATTTCTTTATCGACTTTAGAATCACATAGAATCACTGTACGTACTTGGATTTGCTTTAGGGGCAGGGATGCAACATTCCTAGAAGGCGGGCCCCAGTTTACACAAAAGCTATGCAAACCTGGGATTAGGATCGAGTAGAAACAAAGGAGTGTAGGATGTTGTTCCATCAGCGGTGAGTGGGGGTGTGCTAAGCAATGCCCTACCCGGTTACCCGGTTACCCCTCATTCTCTTGTGGATAAAACTTAGGAGACATTGTAGGACACACACACACCAAGAAACACTTCTTCGTGGCAGTTGAAATGTTCCCATTCAATCTTTTGTCTTCGGCCGAACTTCTTCGGAAGGCCCAAATAGATCGACATGTTGCCTTCCCGTTTAAGGACACGCGCCTTCCCGTCTGTTTGTTCTTTCATTTGTTTTGCACACGTATTTTTAATGTAGAATGTTGATCAAGAAAGACACACAAAAGACACAATATGAACATGTTTTTTCAATCCAAATCAAATGAGTTTTACTCATCAGCATTCGAATTGAATCCAACCAAGCAAAACCAAGCACGCCTTTGGCCCACCCAAGTTTTGCATTTTGATAAACGAGGCGAACATGCAAGAGGACCCACCAATGACCCACAAATGATGTAGGATTGTGATCTTAGTAGACCCTATATCAAGAGGCTTTTGAATCCAAATTGGGGTGTTATTCATCAAAAGTCTACAGGCTCCCTCAAGCTGGCTCCCTCAGTTTCCTTCGCAACAAAAGCAGTCTGGTTCAAGTTCTGGTTCACCTTTTTCCAGTCCAAAGTCTATTCATCTTGAATGGGGTGTCCCCAATCCCCCAAAAAGGTGTTGCAGGCGCAAAAACCAACCCCCACGGCGCCTTCTGTCCCCAAGCGGTCCAAACAGCGAAACACCAGCGGATTCAAGGAACAGTGGACATGTAAACAGGGTAATTCCCAGAGTGCCAACAAACATCCCAATAATAGCGCTGGCCTCCACCTCGTAGCCTCTTGTTACTACATGTTACTATACTAGTAATGGCCTCCAACCTGATAGCGATGGCCTCCAAACTACTAGATATAGCTTCTTGTTACTCGAACACCGACGGCCAAACGAAGCGGGCTTGAAGCGCAAAAAGAACACCAACATGGCCTCCGCAGCCTCCGCCCAGTGGCACATGGCCCCACCACAGCAGGGTGCACAAGGCCGTAAACCCATGTAACTCCCCCAACAAAGGATTCCATGGAACATCATGGAACTTGAGGTTTTTCACCTGGTGGTGGTGGAAGACCATTGACACCGTTTCGACCAACCCAGTGGTTTAGGGGGTCCATGTGAATCTGCAGGGGAGTAACTGCCTAGTGGGTGTGTTTATTGAACAGCTAGTAGGGCATGGCTTATTTCTTTTAAAGGAAGCGCACCATCCACAAAATGCGTGACACGACACGAAACAGTGGTAGGTCATCGCTGGCTCACAAGACCTTCACAAAAAAGACTATATGCCTTTGTCACCTCTTCCGCCCAAACCGGCACCAAGTTGCGTACTCCATTTGATACCTGGGCAAAGTGCTGCAGCTGTGGGGGACGACAGATTCACCTCGTGGGACGATCTCCAATCCTTTGGGCACCAGTGGGAACGAGGAATCCAAGGAGTCCAAGGGAGTACGTTCAGGTGCATCCAACAGCTCAGGAATCCAACAGGAATCCAACGTTCTTGCTTTCCGAAAGAAGAAAAAGCACCAAATAGCTCCAGTCGCCAGCCTCAAGTTGTTGGTGTGATTCTTTATTGTGATGAGTGAAACATGGTGAGAGAGAACTGTTCAAGAGACCTTCGATGGGATGGGTGAGTCGTATCGCGCTGGAACTCGCGTCCCCATCAAGGTTTCAAGGGGGACTATGCACTGATCCCTTTCTTTCCATTCTTCAAGCCGCCAGGATCCTTAAATGCGAACAACCAAGTGCAAAACTCATCCATTCTTGCGCCGGGAACCCATGCGAAGCAACGGACTCTGCCAGCTTTCTCCCGCCGCCCCTCGATGATGCACGGAAGCAGGAAAACCCGTTATGGGAGAAAAGAACATTGGAAAACACTTCTGGAGCTAGTGAAAAAGCCTCATTGTCCGTGCCCGTCCGGGCCAGATTTTTGTTCACTTGCCAAGGTGCTTGGGCACTTCTTTGACAATTTGCTGGGTCATTTCCTTGGGCATTTCACGGATCACTTCCGCGACCTGCACCTGTGGCACTTCCACAATCACTTCCTGCGCCGTCGTCTCGTGTCGCTGATCGCTGTGTTTCGGTGGTTCTGGTCCCGGTCGTCGTCCCCGGAAAGGGCGAAAGGCTGGAGCAAGCGACGACTGAACGGCGCTTTGGTAGCTTCTTGAGCAGCTTCGTTTCTGGATCCTGGGGCCTCTTCCCAAGCCTTTCCAAAAAAGAAGTCTGCAAATGCTCGTCCTACATATATGCTTCACATGACTTGCAAGAGTTGCCGTCTGGTAAGACATCTCCCATCCACATGGGAACCCACTCTGAATGTTCCTTTAAGCAATCTTTCTAAAACCACTTAGACTGCAAAAACTGAATATTCCTTCAATATTGATGCCGACTCTTGATAAAACAACATGAATGAACAGGTAGTTTAACCATCGAAATGGAGGATGGTTGGTTGGAGCGTGCCCGCAAGTCCGTGCATCCAAATTTGAGGGGTGATTCATCAAGAGTCTACATTCGCCAAGTAAAACACCAACGTCCAACGTCCAACGGTCGTCTCTCTCGCCTGTCGAGTCACCATGGGCACTTCCACCTCCTTTTCCTGAGGTCCGTGAGAAGGAACATCCGACTCAAACAAAAAGACCCTCCAGACCCTCCAAACGTCCAGCAGGTGTGTGTTTTTTGTAGTTTTCCTCGGTGCCTCTGGAGAGATCTTAATAGATCCACCATTTACGTGGCCTACAGTTTTGCTAGAGCATCCGAGTTGGTGGATCCAAGCATTGCTCCTCACCAACATGTGGCGCTGAAAGAAAATGAGTAAACAAATCACACAATCTGCCACAATCCACATCAATCGACCCAGCAATGCTCAATGCTTGACATCTTGATTCCAAAAAATCAATTGAAATTGACTGTGCCATCATGCCATCCATCATGCCATCCGTCTAACTACTACTGTCCAAGCAAGTGGCCACTGCTTGGGTTTCGACCCGCGGCACTGCCTTCTCAACGTACTCCACCTCAGTCCGCAGCCAACGCGTGGACCAACGCAGCAGCCCCCCGTTTGAGCGCCCGAACTCGCTGGGCAACGGCTTCGGACTCCCGCCAAGGTCTCGGCGACTTGGGCGATCGCTGGGTGCCGCCAGTGCTGCTGTCGGGTGGATCCAAGGCTGTCCAGCTGCCAGTGCGCCAGTGCTGCTGTCGGTGGCACATACCGTCGATGGCACATCTTTTTTCAAGAGGTGTCTGATGATGGAACTGATCATGGACGGATGGGGTTTGCCCTTGAAACCACTGGGTGGAATGCCAGCTCCAAAGTATTAACCACCCAGAATACTCCGGACTCCTCACACCCCCGTATGCAACCGCCCATTATTTTGGTGGAGTAACGGCCCGTGGCCCCCTTTTGGACACAAAAGTATACACAGAATTCATGTAGACTCTTGATGAATGAACCCACCCCATTGGATTGAAACACATCTTTATGGGGTAAGCTATAAATCAAAAGGCTACATTATGATGTCTCCTCTCTGTTTGAGGTCTGTCATTGAGGGCGTCGCACATTGCAGCGTTTCTGCCTAAGACGCTGAGACTTACTGCTTGACCCTACCACGAAGGACTTCACATGGTTGTTGATTGCATATCTCGAAACTGTTTGCTGGACATCTAACCCACCGCTTGTGGCTAAGTACCCTAAAATAAACCTCACGGTCCCACACCTACCGAAACCCCAGCCACCTGACGAATCCCACCACCTTCTCCGCACTTCCCACAACAGCCGCGGTGCCATGGGTTTTGGCACTTGTCGGTTGACCTGCAGCGTTTCGATCTTCTCCACCGGCACAGCCCGCTCTTGCCGCAAGGTGATCGGCGTCTGCTCCACTCGCTCTTGGACTTGGATCTGGTACCTCGAAAGGCCCTTCCAAGTGCCCAAAACGAGGCCGGGCCAAATACGCGAAGGGTCATGCGAGGTATTTGGGAAGATCAAGATCTGCAGCTCAGCAAGTTGAGAAACAATACAGTGGAGCACATGATATAGCTTTTGGGTTGCTACAAGCGGCCAATGTTGGCAACATTACGGCCCCAAAGTATCAAAGGGTAGTCGAGCAATTTTTAGCCGGAGGAACAGCACTATTGGAGGGAGTGCACATTTCCTTCATCCTTTTATATGCTATTATGCATCAGCATGATCTGAAATAGATAATGTCCCATTCTTTCTGGGGTCCTTGTTGAGTTTGCCTGTTTTCAAGCAGTTAACAGGTCAAAACCACAGGTCTGTTGATACTTCACTTCATGCCGTTGCCAGTGACAGCTGTCTGAAGGATGTGACACTCGGGGCACTGAGCACATGTGGACGACTCCCAAGCCCAAACGAGAATCGGCGCTGAGCCGCCGCCGAGTTCGGTGAACGCCCGTTCGTTCACCGGGGTCTACATGTAGAAAATCGATCCGATCGATCCGGGTCTATCCGTGGACTAATGATGGTTATTCCCTATAGGGCTCCTGGCCCACCTCCGTTTCGAAGATGGTTGGGGTGGGTGGGTTTGGGGGTCTAACCATCTTCTGAGGATGGGGTTGGAGCCCTAGGGATTCACAGGCAATTGTTCAACAAGTTGTGATAGCCATGTTCTTGTTTGCTGACTGTTGCAGGTCAGTTCTGACAGACCCAGGGTAGAACTCGCTCGAGCTCAGTGAACCCAGAGCTCGAAGCCAAGGATTCCGAATATCCGGCACCTCATGATCCGAATCTTGATGATCTTGATGCATCTAAACACACCCATTTGGATTGGAAAGGAGCTGTTGATATGGGTGCTTTGATTGATCAAGTCTACCTTAATGTTGACAGTCTACCTTTATGATCTTTAATGTTGACTGACTGTTGACTTTAAAAACCCTCTTAGATGGTCAAACCACGTCAAACATCTCCATCCGGGGGGAGCTTTATTCATCAACACTATCTAGCGACGAATTCTCCGATCCAATCACGCCGATGAATTCTCCGACGTGCGTAGTGCGACAAGGCCCAAGTGACAAGGGTATCTCCTTGGGTACTGGTTCGTACTGCGGCTTGGGGACCTCAGGCGCGCAAGCAAGCGTGCGGTCGGAATCCATGCTAAGCATGGCCCAAAACAATGCAATTCAGAATATAGGTGAATTTCTAAAAAGCACTAAAGTGCAAAAATCGATGGATAATTGTTTTGCGTAATTTTGCATATATAGTTGATTTCAATCGTCAGGTACTGAGTCACAAACAGTCATAGAGATCCTTGCCCAAAAGCAAGTGTCCCTTTCTTGAACCCCCCCCCGGACAACTGAACAAAAAAATACAAAAAAACAATGCCTTAATTAGATCAGCGATCAGCAATCCACAATACAGTAAGTCTCTAATTTTGTCTCAAGGACTGGAAGCCCATCGCTCGGGTTTTCGCTTTTTGCGGCGCGAAAGGAGAGAGCTATAGCGATCGTTCTCCAGGAAAAAAAAACGCTGCAGCTGGAGAAAAAAGGTCGGTGGTCCCCCCCCAAAACCACCTGCAACCCTCAGCTGAACCCACATGGCCCACAGGCTTGCCCATCAGGGCCTCCTAAACCCAACGACGGAGGGGCGCCAGAGGCGCCAGGGCGGCGGCGAGTTGTGTGGCCAAGCTGCTTGTGTGATCAGCTCCACGGCCTGCACCTCAGGCACCTCCACCGCAACCTGGAGCGACAGGTCGAGCTCCAAGACCGCTGCGTCCGTGAAACACCGAGCTTCCGAAGCAAAGGGAGTGTCCAGCCCAAAGTGATGAAGAAGCAAGGACACTGGACAGGTTTTCTCTGGGATCTCTTTTCAGGGCTGGATGTGGGATGATGATGTTGGCGGGACGGTAGATAAATGCAATGTTTTTGCAGACCCTAGACCACACAAGGCTGACATGTGACTCTTGCAGTAAATAACCGCCCCTCGACCACATGTGACATATATGCACGTTGCAGCAATGCAGCAAATACCGCGTTAAAACACTATATCAATATTGTCTATATATTGTGGGCATCCCCTCTCTGAGCATCTGTAGAGTGCCCGAAAGCGAAAGGACAAGTTACTTCCCAGCACCCAGTGATGCACGAGCGGTGGTCGGCCCCCAGTATGTTACACCATGCAAAAAGAGCAGTATGTTACCCTACCCGGTACACACCAATCAACAACCACAAAAAGGGAATTGTTATATTAAGTGTGTGCATACTTAATATGGTTACATGGTTATACTTATACTGCATATACAAATACCAGGACCCACAGGGAGTGCGGGACTATTTATAGCCTTTGGGGCATGGTAAATGTGTTCATATGTTTCCTATGCTTCATTTTGGCAAGTTCAACAACAAATAGTTACATTCCATGAATCACCTGATGTCAGCGCGGTGCATATTCGATCTCAACCGTCACCTGCTGCGGACCAAAGTTTTCCTGGCAGTTCACCGTCACCCATGCAGTTCAATCATTGCCAGTTCATCCATGTAAGCCACCTGCTGCTGTAAAACATCTGTCACGTGAAGCAACAAAGACTGGAACTGACTTCTATGGGAGAAACACCGCAAGCGGGGATACATGAGATGATACCCTACTCCTAGGATACGTAAGGATATGTATACGATACCCTACTCCCAGACTAGAGTTCTCCCATCCGACGCGCTCGTTGCTTCATGCCAGGATGCCTCTTGTTTCAGAACGCAAATCTTATCTCTCACTTGCTCAAAGTACTGCATCACGTGCTTTGGAACCTTCCTCAGTTTGCCAGTGTTCTTCTAACGCAAAAGTCGTGTGCTGCGTGCTTCGGGGAACACTGGGGCTCCGAGGTCCTAGCCACGCAGCCTCTCTCTATAGCTACCTCTACGCCATACCTTCGGATCGCTGACCCAGCCTGCTTCCCCAAAAACCATGGTCCAACCAGGTGACTTGTCCACATATTGGACCACAGGCTTCGGCACTTGCTTCACAATCTCTCGCACTTCCTTCTGAGGAACCTCCACGATCCTCTCCTTTTCCCGTCGACGTTGGACGTGGTCGGGAGAGGGCGTTGTGTTGTTCCAGGCGGTTCGATTCAACGGATGCTTGGACGGTTCGTCAGGTTCGGCACCCAGGCTGTTGGGGAGAGGTGCAGACCCTGCCGATTCCTGAAGGATGAGAAGAGGGGCAACCTGAAGGATGCCGTCTGGAAATCCAAATGGATCCAAGGCGGAAAACCCCAGTTTGAGCAGTGATGAAAGTCTCTGTTTGGAGAGGTTGAGCACTTCAAAAGGCCCCCACGCGGGTTGTGGACCAAACTGGGTCACCCTCCTTCAGTTGGGGATTTGGATGGATTTGGACCGGCAAGATTCATGTTTCAACGCTCCATTCATTGACACGGTGAGCATTCCACCGATCAAACACCGAGTCGATCTGTCACTGTACCGAGTTCAAGGTGCTGGGGGGGCAGCTCACATGAGATGGGGTGAGTTCAAGGTGGAAAGGTATGAAAAACACGACAGTCAAGTCAACCCGCTTTTTCCCCGTCTTTTCCAATATTTGAGTCTTTTTGTTGCAGTACAGGGGCTGTAAATTGGAACCGCACTCGAGCTGAACACCTCAGCTTGTTTGGATCGTTTTCCTGCCATGGAACGTCAAATATATTTCCTAGAATGGGAAAGGGCCTTCACAGGCTCAATGCGTGCAAAACACTGGGCGGCAACATCCTGATAGATACTATAGTGCTACACATGTACTGTCCATCCCTCTTATTAACCCAAAACCATACTATAACTATACATTCAACCAATATCTCAAGGCATGCCATGTCAACCATCCCCATTTGACTCCGTGCTTTCCAGCCCCCAAACAGGTTCGGGCGCCGCCTTTCGTCTCCGATCTGAGACGGCCGCACTCCTCGTAGGTGATCTGCGGCACCTCCACGACCCGCTCGACCCACTCGATCTGGGGCACTTCGACCGTCTTCTCCACGTAGCGGACCTCCACTTTGGGAATCTCCTGGCGGGGGCGAGTGAAAACCGCCCACGGGGGGCGAGAGTGGAAATCCTCCACGGGGCCCTCGGGGTGTGTGGTTGTGATGGTGTGTTGGCATGGAATCTCCAACAGGAGAAACCGTTGGAACCGTCGGACCCATCAGAATCGCGGTCCGGACCCTGGAAGGAGCCCGGCTACCAACTGCTGCTCTGGCATCTCCATCAGAAACACTGATTTTCACGCGCCAAAAAGGCCGGACTCAAGGATTTCATTTGACATCATTTGACTACATCTTGGAGAAAAAGACAGCCGGACTCAAGGATTTCATTTGACATCATTTGACTACATCTTGGAGAAAAAGACACACCTTTGGATATTTGGACCTAACGAGGTCCGTCTCAAAGCCCTCCTAGTTGATAGGACGCACTCCTGTGAATGCGTCTCAAAGGGGGCCTTGGACCCCACCTATATATATAGGGCCGGGGTTTGGTTTGGTTGATATTATATAATGGTACCAAATCTGAACCTACCTGCCGGCAAAGGTATGAACCGGAAGAATTCTGAACTTAGTCACAAAAGTCCACAAAACAGCGGCCAGCCCCGAAAACATAAAATGTTCTGAGGGGCAAATCAGTGAGGTCAATCAATTGAATCAGGGCATCAAAGCTAGGTTGGATTTCCATCTGCAAACATTTAATATAGACTTGACAAATGAATTTACATGATACAGAATATATATATATATATATCCGCCGACCCCACACCGTGGGGTGAGGCGTGACTGTCGATGTTAGCCTTAGCCTAGGCCTTAGCCTTAGCCTTAGACCTTAGACCTAGTTCTTAGCCTTAGACCTAGACCTAGACCTTACCTCCCCTACCCCTCCGGACCCTTGTTGCAGTGACGAAAATCCCGCCCTGAAAGCGACCTGGGTTGTCCAAGAATCTGCCATCCCAATTGATTTACATCTTGGGGCACCCTCTCGACCCGCGCGGGAAAATAAGCACGGTCCAAAATGGTCCTGGGCTCGAATCCCGGGCTGGTCGCGGCATGGTCCCGGCCAATGCCCTTGCTTTTTCGTAGACTTTGTCACGTTTTATGAGATTTTCAAAGGCTTTTCTGGCATTTTCCTAGGAATGCTCTAGGCTTTGTCTTTTTGGGTACCTGCTTTGGTGGTGAAGGGTTGGGTCTAAATTCTTGGGCAATGATCGGGGTTCATGCAAGAGCTGACGTCCGATGGTAAATCTGGGAGGTACCCAAAAAGTCGACTTTTTGGGTACCTGCTTTGGTGGTGCTGGGTTGGGTCTGCACTCTTAAGGCTAAGGCTAAGGCTTAAGGCTAAGGCTAACATAGAGCAAGGCTAGCGCTAAGGTTCTATCCCTTGGGGGTCGGCGGCTGCAGGCGGTAGCCGGCGGTAGCCTGGTAAATATAATCCCCCTTCGAGTTCGGGAGAAGGCTGGGGTGTCTGATTTTGTAGTTACAAACCGAGAACCCAACCATAGGGCACCCCTCTGAAGTCTACAAATTCGGATCTCACAGCCGATGCAACAAACGACTAAGCCGTAACCTTACAAAATCACATCCCAAGCATCAATGGCTAAAAGAATGGACTGTCAGAAGCCGCACTTCTTCCAATGGAATTTGTAATGAGAAGGATTTTCTAGTAGTGTTGTGTGGTCTCTTCAGGGTCTTTAGGACATGTTGTGATTATGTAGGGAATTTGTTTTGTAAAAAACATGTTGTCCACCATCATTGTTTCCAACAGTTTGCAACACATGACATGATCTCAGGGACACACACACACACACACAACTCTTTTCCGGAACATTTGCTGGTTCAAAGCATGTATGATCAGCCCCTGCCAAAAAGACCCCCAGTAAACAATTGAAACATATTGTAAAGCATCTACTGCTGGAAGAGTTTATTTAGCCCACGCTTAAAAAACACAAAGCTTTGATCGTGTAGATGAAACACGAATCGCCCATTTTGTGTTATTGGCTTCCGCTTCGAGTCAAACGAAGTCAATCCTTGCACAACAAAACACAAGTTCTGCAAGTGAACCTCTGTCTACCCAATCAAAACCCAAGCAAAAGCTTAATACTCTAATAATTTCTTGGGTTCTTCTACAGAATCTTAACCCCACCTCAGCAGGTGAGATTGTTGGTGACTTTTTGATGGTAGGTCAAAGGCCAAGGACCTAGGATTGATTCTCTTAAAACAAAAAATAACACGCAAAGTACAACATAATCCCTGTTTTGACACCCCGGGGTGTCAGATTCAGTAGTGGACACTTCAAGGAGGATTGTCTATAATATAGGGCAATCATCACACTCGAAATCACAACAGAACGGGCAAAACGTTCAAGAAACACGATTGGACCGGGTTTTAAGCCCTGAACCGAGTGAGGCTGAACATTTCTTGCACGAGAATCCAGCCGTCAAAAACCATGGATAAAACAAAATGTACATTTGAAGTTCGAAGGACTATGGGGGCTCATTGCCCACAGGAGATGCTTTCCGATTACTTCGGCAAATTTGGAAGCTTGCGACAAGGGGCCTCCGGAGCCTCCGGGTAAGGTGGACACCTTTTGGTCAAGGTGTACATATGTGTACATCCTGATAGGCGAACTCTTGACCCACTCCCTGCGATTCATGAACCCACAACCCCGTGTCCTGTTAGGTTGAACCCGTCAAAAGACCGAATTCTTTGAGATTCTTGTGTGTTTCAATCCAGAAAAGACAATGATGTCGGCGAAATCAGCTGGGCGTTTTCATAGATCCACTGACCCTATAGTTCGACCATGAAATGAATCGTTGACCTGGTTTTGTAGTCCAAAATCCTGAATTAACATGAATTAACCATGGTTCCCATTCCAGGAGCGGCTGGAACACCACGTGGAATTCAAATTATTTACTCCTTGTTCACATTTGGTTCACCAGGATTCATTCTCAGATGGTGAGAGAGCCCAGGGTCCGAGAATTCATTTGTATAAGGGGATCCAGCACCACGGCAAGCTTTAGAAGAGAGGCCTCGCTATTTCACCCGATTTCTACGGCCCCAAACTCCTAATGCCTGCGCGGATGCTGAGCATTGGACCCAGTTCAGGGATGCTTTTGGGCAAGTGTCTGATGTCGCAAAGATCTCCTAATACGCTGTTAACGATCGTTGATCATTGATCAGTCTCAGCTTGGAAACCAAACCCAGAGAAAGTGTGTTTCGCACCAGGCTCTTCTCCGCGGCAGTCGGCTTAGTTAGAACACATCACATGGAAATGGAAAACCACCTACTTCATAGAGGAAAAGGGGGTCTTCGCAGCACAGAACTCGCTTTTGCTCCTCAGAGTGTGCCCCTTTATTTTTTGCGATCAGAAGGATCGCCCGTCCGATCTTTCAGGATCGGACCGCCCAGCTCTCCACGAAGGAAGACGTGTCGCAGGTACCTCGATCCGCCCAGCTCTCCTTGATGATTTCAACATATTCGATCTCAGGTACCTCGATGATGTTGTCGTGGATCTCTTGCAAAGGAACCTCGGCGCATCGCAGCGCATCGCATCGCGCGGTTCAAGGTCGAAGAGGGCCCCGGCAAGGAGGCAAGGAGGCGGGTGCTTTGGGAGTGGGAACGCCAAAACAGCAATCCCCCTTCTTTCAGAACTCCCTAACCGAAGGCCAGCGACCAAAAATACGGTACCCAAATGTTTGGAGAACTTGAGGGGGGTAACACCCCCGACGGTTTATCCACCCATGGAAATGACAACCCGCAAGATCTGTACAGTAAGTTTCGATGTCCAAAACCAAATGGGGCTCTTTCTTCAATACGTGCCAAAGCATGCCAGCATGTAGTATAGTCCAAGCTTGGGTCTTCAAGCTGCTATTTAGAACCTTGATGCTGACTGATGTTTTCTGTCGTTGCTCAAAGGTTTCTTACTGTATGTCTATTCCAGCACCACCCAAAGGGTGGTTATTAGATGGAAAAGACATGACAAGACATCATCAGGGGGTCTATAAACCACCCTTACTGGGTGGTGCTGGTTTTTGGAACCTGCTTGTTGTCAACGACATAAGTTGTTGCGCTTCCGTGTATTTGGGCATACCCCCCCCCCCAACACTATGCAGTGCACGTCCCCGCCCCGAAAGGAACACCAATTTCAGCCTCTACCAAAAGGGGTTATCCTCTTCTACGATTGTTCGGGGGGAGGATTGTCTCTTCTTTGGGGGGGTTCAAAGGCTTCGACATGTGGTCCACGTCTCGCGGCAAGGCACGGGGACTTCCTTCGTCACAAAGTGGTTCTCCGGCTTCTCCACCCTCCTTGGACGTAGGTGGTGACACACGGAGAGAACGATGTCAGGGTCAAAGAATGTCCTGGTCATGAAAAGCATCAGCGTTTCTATTTGGGACTACAAACCAAAAGCCTATCCGGCTGACTATCTATTATACTATATTTCGATTTCTATATATGTTGATAAACTATGTTTTGACTTCGAGAGACAAAGCAAAATACTGTCATCACAGTGAATTTTGCATGTCTCTCGCTGAGCAGTTCACCAGTTCCTGAAAAAACTGAGGTCTTGCCATTCACAAAGTGAGGTACTTGATTGATCATCCAAACTCGCGACAAGTGCTCTTGGTATCTCTTGGTCACTTCCGACTCATCTTCCCCAAACTTGAGATAACCCATCAGGCCCCAACCAGGGACTTGCTTTTGAACGGTGAGTTCCAAGATGCCTCATGAGGCTCTATTTGGGTGGTTTTCTTTTGGGGCCCGCATGGTTGGGGGATGCCATGGATTATTTAGAAAAGGAAGGGATGTGACTCAAAAAGAAGTGAGATGATGTCAGATGTGGAATAATTTACCCTGGCCCCAAATTCGGACATCTGCACATCATGGGAGTTGTTCCCGTGGAAAAACCGAGCCATGCTTCACTGGCTTTGGGGTCGGTCCATCCTCACCGCCACGTCCCTTGGCCCGACCTGCTTTGGGGTGAAACACGTGGACCGAGACCCAGAGTGCACACCGAAGCAAAACGCCATGGAAAGGCGTTCAGTTCCTGGGAAAAGGACCTGCTTGTTGGTATGGAGTTTCGTGAGGGCATGCGAAATAGCTCTGGAAGCGTCACAGCCACAGCATATATATATATATATTGATAGTTGGGTAAGCCAATATGCGTTCATGAAACACCTTAATTTTAACAAGATTGTGTTTTACGCTTATGGGTGCTCAGAATATTATGATGAATCTGGGAATATTATGAACAATTCTGATGATCGTCAGAAAATTCTGATGATCATCAAAAAATCTGATGATCGTCAGAAAATTCTGATGATCGTCAGAAAATTCTGATGATGTTCAAAAGATTCTTATGATCGCCAGAATATTCTGATGATCATCAGAAAATTCTGATGGTCGTCAGAAAATTCTGAGGATCGTCAGAAAATTCTGATGATCGTCAGAAAATTCTGATGATCTTCAAAAGATTCTTATGATCGCCAGAATATTCTGATGATCATCAGAGAATTCTGATGGTCGTCAGAAAATTCTGAGGATCGTCAGACAATTCTGATGGTCGTCAGAAAATTCTGAGGATCGTCAGAAAATTATGATGATCGTCAGAAAATTCTGATACCTCCCTGGGCGGAATCTGCAATATGTGTGTTTTTTTTGTGGCGAAATGTACCTCAATTGATGTATAATTCAAAGATATTTACACATATGAAGGTGGTGCATCTGTTTGCGCATGCATTTTTGGACCACATAAAAGGGACTGGACCCCTAATCTCACAGTGTTACTGGTGTCTCTTAGTGAGCTTCTGACATTCTGACAAAAGTAATTTCTGCAGATGGCAGATCACAGAAGAAAACTCTCAGAAGAATGAAGAGTTGTAGAATAGGACTTTGTTTGTGTCACTTGTGTCCCTATGTTCTTGTTGATTGGAATTTGCACGGTCCATCACTCCTTGTGATTTTATGAAGTTCCATCACCATGACTTTGAACACCTCAAACATTACAACTTCAATTAATATGCGTTTTAAGTGTCCAATCGTTTAAAGTTAATATATATATATGGCAACCTTGAATCCAATTTCACACTTGGAAAACGCATATGAAGGCTCCACAATCACAAATTTCTGATACCCTTCTCTCGTGAAACTTCTTACTTGTTGGGGTTTCGGTCCGGACGGTTGTCGGTCCGCATGTGAACACCTTCGTCTGAGTGAGAAAGCAAAAAGGAGGTGAAACATGAATACAGAACTCCCATCGTTCGCTGAGCTTCTTGTCAACCTGCTGCGCTTCCATCACTGCCACCTCACGCACCATCTCCACCACTTCCACCACAGGCACTTCCACCATCTCCTCCACACAAAGCTGGCATGAGGAAAAAAGCGCGGTATACGATATATGTGGCTATTAGCTATAAACTCAGCTGCTGCATGTCAAGCAAGAATCTCCCTTCCAATACACTCATCACCTTTCAGTTCATTTGCTTGGTTTTTTTAAAATACCTACCCAAGAGCACTCCATGTATGGAATACATGTCTACATTGGCCCCTGAAACCACTCCTTGGCAACCTTGGCCCCATGTTTGCATATTTTCTGGGTATGGCTGCAAAGTTATTTCTCTGAAACGAAGGAGCGCTGCCTTGAAACCATGATGTCTGTCTAGTCTACTCCGAAGGGCTAACCCTTCTGAAACAGCTCTAGTTGCCAAAGATTGTGGGGGCTCACGTTTCCTTGAAAGCATAGTCGCAGTCGCACCCCCCCAAAAAGGCCCTTTTCACATGGTGTGGGCACTGACACAACGTCGCCCAAAAAACGACCGGAAACGACCGGGCGGGCACGGCGGTCGACTGCCAACACCCGGGGGGGGTGAAGAACTGATCTTTAGGTCCATTCTCTGTAAGATGGGAGTGCAAATCACCAAACTTCTGGAATCAGAAACTCAGGGCCGAAAACGTCATGGCCGAAATTCATGTCTCTCCTCCTTGAGGGTTGGAGTGGTCACTGGCAGTTGTCGCTCACGCACTTGGACGATCGGCTTCTCCACGTGTTTGGGCACCTTCCTGGCGCCAGGCAGTCTGGGCGAAAGGCACGCGAGGCAAGCGAAAAGCGTCTGGCTTTTTTCCAGGTGGTGGCTGAAACCACCAGGTCAACAGAAATACCGTACTTCAATCCAAGGGCTTGCAATAACGCGCACACTGGGAAACTTACTTCTGCAAGACCTGGAGGGTCCTTGAGGGTCTGAGTTCAAATCAATCACCCAAAGTGCCCAACCGAAACCGTTAGCCTGCGCAAACGTATTGACAGTCTGGGTGATGCTCCATGCCAATGGCCAGCTGTCCAAATATGGCTGTGGGAAAAAAACATAGAAAATCAAACCATGATTACCATATATTACCATGATAATGACCATGATTACTCACTTCGCTTGCGGCGATCGTGGACCTGAAAGTGGCGTGGAACTCTCCATGATCACCACCTACCAGCACCTCCAAGAGGTGTCTATAAATAGCCGATAGCCTCCAAGAGGTGCCTATTTAGGATGTCCAAAAACCACCCCACCTGTTGGAAGCTGCTGGTATATATAATGTAGACTCTTGAGGTGCATAACCCCCCCAATTGAATTGGACATCCTTTTCATGGAGGGTTTATGCCCTTCCAGAGTCTACATGGTCTTTGTGGTCAGGAATCAGGTGTCCAGGACCCCTGGAAATGGTGAACGGAGCGTACGGAGCGGAGGTCCGGAGCCTGCAATGCCACCGTCGCGAAGTCGAGAACTGTTCGAATTACAACGTTGACAACTAGTATGCAAGTTGCGCTTCCGGCAGGTGGAAGCCAAGAGTCTTGCCCTACTGACACCTATACAACAATAAAACTTTAATTGTACACATCTATCCATCTGACATCATTTTTGTTCTTCTCTCCATCTCCATATTCTCCATCTCCACACGAAACATGGCCAAACCACAACTCCGCCTCCCGCCTGGCGGCAGCTTTGGGCACCTCCTTGATGACCTCCAAGCGCTCGACCCGGGGCACTTCCACGCAGGACTCCTCGATGAGCTGCATGGGCACCTCGATGATCCGTTCCCGTGCTTCGAAGTAAGGCAGTTCGATCTCCTTGATCACCTGCCAGGCGGATCCCACGCGAGGCCGCCCAGCAACGAAGGGACGCCGCTTCACCCCAGCCACCAAGCTCGTCTCACTCGTACGCGCGTGGTCGTGACACGCGGTCGGTGTGACGCGCAGGTTTTTGGAGAAAAGCAGAAGCCACCCGAGATTCGTTCGAGATCTAGGCCCACAGGAATGGCCAAACACTCCATGTATGACGTATCCGTATTCGTATTTATATACATTGGACATATTACATACATTGGGGTGGTTTGGAAGGTCAATGTAGGTACAGTAAATATTCCATACATTACATTGAGTGTTTGGGAGATAGATTGAGATTTTAGAGATGAGGATCGCCAACCAAGTCTTGGATTGTTTGCGTCATCCACTCTGAAAACCACCGTTTCCTGGTAGAAAGTGTCTAATGGGGGGGGCACATACAGCATACAATTGTGTAAGGGGATTGTCCAAAAAGAAGTCAAACAACATATCTAGCAAGTACCCTGCACACTCTTGGTGATAGTCTTGCCTCGGAATACCTTGGCACGGGCACTTCTCGGATGATCTCCTCTTGCAGGACTTGTGGCACTTCCACCAGGGTCTCATGCACCAGGGAGATGGGGATCCTCGGACGGCCCGAACCTCCGAAAGGTGAACGTTTTGGCAGTGCCACCCAATGGAGAATCATGAAAATCCCGAGCACCTCTAAAAATACATGAAAACGCGACCCAATGGTCGCAAGCCCATCATGTCGCGTCGAAGCCAATTGGTTAGCCAATTGGTTTATTTTTGTTCGGGACCGCCCGTGTTATAGGTTCCTGCATGGTTCTTCAGGTCACAAAACGGCCTGCAACAGGTCACAAACAGGGACTCCAAAAGGTCACGAACTGAAGAAGCTAGCAGCTGGCTATAAAATGCTATACGAAACAACAGCACATTGGATTGTTCGGATGTCATCGGGTTTCAGGTTGCTTTCATGCGAGTACTAGGTCAGCACGAGAACGTCCATTGCTCTACCCGACATATTCGTACGGCTGCATCGTTCGCCGATTCTTCCAACATTGGCCTTCCCTCCGTGGACGATTACACTCTGGAAGACTAACATGGACCCTGAAAACCACTGGTTGGTAGAGGAAGATCATCTTCCACGGGGCCATTGTCAGATTTGTCAGAGTGCATGTGAGTTTTCGGGAGTGTAAGTGTAACCACCAGCAGTTCCGACAGGAGTCTCGAGTCCCATCGAGTGAGTGGATGTGACAGGGGCACCCCCCCTTCCACATCCCCTAACCTACTGGCGCTGGCGCTGGCGCTTCTGGGGACTCTCTCAGTTTCTCCCTCTCTTCACACGCTCGGACGCGTGGGACCTCTCCAGGGCTCTCTTCGACCTTCTCCACCACTTCGACGCGTGGGACCTCGACGGCCTTCTCCACCTCCTCCACCGTGGCCTGCTCTCGCAAGATGGTGTGATACTCCAAGCGCCGCTTGGGAGAGCTCACGTTCCGCCGATCCTGAACCTGTGTCACCTGAAGAAGAAGGCGCAGCCGGCAAAGCCAGTGGTGAAAAAAAACAGCAACAAAGCCGCCCTGTTCTGCCGAGAAAGGTGGGTGGGAAGTCGAAGACACCGGAAAAAGGACCTCCTAAGGTCCTAAAGGGAGGGAAGAACTTATCCAACAAAAAACAACCAATATCAATCAATTGTCCAATTCCCTGGCAAATTCAGAGAATTGCCCAAGGTGCACCTCAAAAAACACATCCATAATTCATGTCTGGTCACAGGTGGAGCCATCATGACCGGAGCGGCCACCTCCACGGCAGTGACGGGTGCCGGACCCATCGTCACCGGGGGGGCCATGTAGGTCATCGGAGCCTGGTGCTCAGCTGAGGGAGGGGATCTCGAAGGTCTCGACCCAGGTTTGAAGCTGAATGAAAGGCCTCTCTTTCCTCATAATTAGTGATGATTCATGACCCCTTGTTTGAGTCTTGCTGGGTGGGGGTTGTCTCAGTTTTGAAGTCTGAGATAGTCTGAGTCATGATCCTAAATTCCAATCGCACCAGATCCTAGGAGCTGCCTCTTGTCTGACAACCCTGTATGTATATTTGCATAATACACGATCTTGTATGTTCCAGCTGCCGGCATTTTCAACACAAACCATGGTTACGAATAGGTCGCAGGTCTGTTAATGTCCGACCATACTCCGCATAATTAGACTAAGAGTGGGCAAGTGTTGTCTCTGGAGCAAACCTAGCGAGCAATGGTCGTATAGCGTAGCTGCAGCTCATCCACGCAAACACACTCACCAAAGAATTCTTTTGGCACAAGGCAACGTACATATTTGCATCCTCCCAGAACGTCGCGGGGTTCGAACCAACTGAACCTTCGCACGGTCACGACCGCAACGACCGTCCCTCGCCGGTGCTCGTGCCGGTGCTGCCGCCAACTGCACCGAAGTCGCGGTCAACGGACCCGCCGGCACCGGCATCTGCACCGACGCCGCGCGCACGGGTGCTGTGGGCTCGGCGATGGGCTCGGCCGTGGGGGCGGTCATGGCCATCGGCCGCATCCTGGGAGTTAAGCAGGAAGAGAAGTAGGAGTAGTAGTAGTCGTCGTCGTAGTAGTAGTTGTTGTTCGATCTGGGGCCTCTGACCGGCCTCGAACTCGAAAAAGCAAACGTTATGTTTGTGACTGGCTCCAATGAAGGCTAATGCTAATTATTAATTACTATCAAATTGTTAAAGGTATGATGGAAAACACCATCTGGAAAGTGGCGTTTCTTCAGGTGACCATGAAAAAAATCCCCAGTCATCACATGAAGTCACCGTTCAAGAGTGACTGGGAACCTGCAAGGAGACAAACAGGAGGTTCAGAACTGATTGTTATATATAATACTCATAAACCATCATAAACCGCTCAAAGGCCTTTGATTCCCAGCGAACATGGCTGCAATGCAGGTCAACAGGTTTTTTTCTGTGAAAAAAACCACACTCAACAAAAAAGTGGTGCGTTGACGTTGGAAGTTCTGAAGGAGTCGGAATCGAAATCCTAAGTAAGGAGTTACACCAATCCCTGAAAAATGGGCCAGCTCCTTAAGAAATGAACAACAACGGCGAACAAAGCTCCACTCACTCAAACATCTGGAATTCAGGTCTTCACCTCACCTGTTTTTTCCATGTGCCTCCTAACATCAGAAACAAAACACCAACTTGTCAGGCTAATGGCGCCAGGCATCTGTGGCACCATCCCGGCACACATCCCACCGACCGCCTGCGGAGGTCCCATGCCCATCCCCACCACTCCACGTCGTTGCGCTGCGGCAAACCTGGAATCGGAACACACTTGGGTCCAAAAAACGTTCCGTTCCGTAACAGTGGGACTGCCATTAAGATGCTATGTTTTGAGATTCAATGAACTTGGTCCAACACAACAACCGATGAAAAAGAAACTATCAAGTCAAGTATTAAATCCCAAAGACTCTTCCCGTGTGAGGACGCCATCATTGTTGGTGTCCAGCGCCGAAAACGCCGAGTTCAGTGCGGCCGAGGCCATGGGTCTCGTGCGATGGGGCGCACTCTCTCGTGCGCCCCAAAAGCCAGCTTTTGGAGCCAAACGCAGGAGACTTGGTCTGGTAGGGGGTCGTGCGCACCGTTTTCTGTCTAAAAGCCCCGATGGAACACCAACCAGCAGAACATAGCAGAGCCAAAGGGGCCCTACCGGTGTTACACGGAGACGAATATCTGACTGGGCTTCACTATAGTGGGCTTGATCCCTCCGTATACAGGCCATGGCCCGAAGTTTGAAGATCTGACAAAGGCCATGCCTGATTGTCCAAATCCAGTGATATGAAATATGACCCAAACACTCCATGTACGGCATATATACCATACATGGAGTGTTTGGGTGATACTGTATATGGCGATAATATGATGAGATATGATATGTGTAAAGTTTAAGGCTCCACCGTTGCTGCACCAATAATTTGCAACTAAATGCCACTAATGAATTGGTTTCAATCCCCAGGCGTGCTTGGCTCAATGTTGAACCATTTTTTGTATATCATTACACATATCCAGTCCATCCACAGGTGAACCTGGCCACTTTCGCTGAGATGTCAGTCCCCTCCGGATCCGTCATGCAGGTGCGAATCAAATAAATCAAGATAGGCCCAGGTAGGAGGCCGAGGGTAGGTGACGAAAGCGAACGCAGGGGTGCATCCGTATCAGTGGAGGCGAAGCAAACAGCGCCGTCCAGCTGTTTGAAGGACTGGTGGGACATCAAGCGGAGGGAGGCAAATCTTTTTCATAGGCATGGGGCTGTTGGAAGGATGGTTCACAAGGCCTTGCTCATGAGGTAAAACCTTGTGAACATGTAAGACACACGAACAGCAATGACACAGCCAACCTTAGCATTCAAGTCCCGATAATTAAGAAAGCGTGGCTAGACGTTGCCACACGGTTCGATGCATGAGCAAACCAAGCTGCTTGCATGATTTGTTTGGTTTCTTCTATCAATGTCGATGTCATGAACCTGTGAGCTTGTTGAATCTGTTGCACCGCATCCCAAAACCTCCACGGAGGAGTTGAACCGGTGTCCCAAAGGCGTCCCAGGGGGGAGTTGAACCCCCCCGGGGCGGGGGGCCTACATATATGAAGTGTTCACGTGATGCGGCGATCTCGAGGATTCCAGCCCCTCACTTGCTAAAGCAAGGACAACTCCAGCTAGCTGGTGCTAGCTTTCGTGAAAAGTGAGCGCCTGCGTTGTTGTCACCCCAATGCCTGCAAGACCTGGTCCTCTTCTTCTGAGCCCAAGTTCAGGGTCAGAGGCCCTCCTCTTCATTGATGTCTTTTTGGCAATACAACAAAAAATGTGTGTCGCGATTAGGTACCGTAGAGCTGTTGGTTGTACACGGCCAGGGCATCGGCTTTGTGACGCAACCGGAACCATCGGCCGTAGGTCAGGCCCTCTTTGCTTCTCTTTGTCCACCCCGTTTCAGTGTGATTGGGGAGTACGTCAGGCGACGCGTCGTTTCCGTTGCTCCTGCTCAAAAGCTCCTCCTGAGATTTCTTGGCTCGCTCAAAGCGTTGCTGTAGTTCTGGCTGGTCCCCCAAGCAGGGACTGTACACCTGGCAGGAGGGAAACACCACAGCCAACAGTACCCCTTTCATCCCTTTTGTTCTGAAAGGAAGGTGGACTTGCTCCCCATGAAAGTGCACAAACTCTGAAAGACTTCGTCCTCGGGATGACCAAGAAAATTGTGGCATGACAGTGTCATCAATTGGCCCTCCTTTAACTTGGTTATAAGCCTCTGGACCATCTGGACATGATCTTGTGTCTGATATCGTGTCTGTGTCTAGTAGACTGACGCAGGGGTACAATCCGAACGGTCAAACGGCCCTTTCTGACAGTGTCATCCATGTCGACGCATGAAAAAAAGCGAAGCGCACAGCGAAGCGCCACTGCGAAGCCGAACGGCCGAGGACACGGCGATGCAGGAAACACGGCGTCGCGGCCTCCTCGGGCCAAATGGAAGCACAGGAGGGGCACCTCGGCCGGAGCATCTACACTCCCTGGATTCGAACGGAGGAAAAACCCTGTTTGTAGAGGAAACGGGTCTTCCCAATGGCCATGCTATCCACTTCCATGTTAATTAGTTCCAGGAAGTGTATGAAACCTGGCATGGACCAGACTGGATG